TTTTGACTTTTAGTTTATCCCTGTACATCAGGGTGTCCGGAATTGCTACACATGTGGTTCTCCTGATCACCTCATGAGAGACTGTCCTATGTCCCACCCAAATCCCATGTTTCAGCCAGGTACTACCAATTAGAGTATCTTAATTTATGTGTGAATTATTGAGAACGAAAGCGAGTGAATTGAGGCAGGGATCTTCAAATCCACCAGGTCTGACACATTTTCATTTATAAAATTAAAATTTTTCGTTTATGGGTGATCTGATAATTCATTCTGAAATGGCCAGTATATTCATCGTTAAGTTTCTACAGTAACAGTTATACAGACATGCATTACGCGTGCACTCGCCACTGCTGTGCAGACTTTGCGCGCACACACACATTCATTCACACTGCACTATACCCATTTGACGTGCGCCTACAATATGTAACATTTCATGCTGAAAAAAACACGTGTCATGCCTATTATGCTTACAATTGAACACACACAACATTTTTCACGCACATAACGAGCATGTGCACTACTATATTTAAGTTCTGATATTTGTTAATCAAAATTTATTAAATATTTGAACTTTTTATGAGCTTGAGATCTTTCACAAATTCACATTATGCTCAAAGATCAATGGCTTCCGAAATCCATTCCTAATCCCTCTACCCATAGATACCTTAGTTAACTGCCTGTCATCTTGAAACTTGCAAATGCTTATTAAGTTGTAAATTATTTCAGGGAATGGAGCGTATCATGGGGGTATGCCAGGCTATGTGCAGCCACCTTACTGGAATAGCTCCTCAATGCCGCCTTTCAGCCCATATGCAAACATGTATGGGAACCCTGGAATGATGTATTTCAACACATCCATGGTTCCTGTTTCACCATTTGCTGCGCCTCCCTACTTTCCTTCAATGAGCGCTAGCATGGCCGGTTCTGGGTATTCTATAATAAAATTTTCAATTTACACTTTTATTCTAGTTTACCTCTACGGAAAGTATTACATGCATATTTTGACTCTCAAGTGCAACATGTAGTGCCAACATGAGAATGTGCAATATGGGGCCTCCTCGACATTCAGATCATTTTGGGCTGCAACCTTGCGAGAACAAAAGGAAGCACCCAAATGAAGAGCTCGAAAGGTAATTTTACCTTCAAAACATCTATTCATATATTATTATTAGTTATTTTGTTTGTCTTTCCTGAGATTTTTGGATGGAATTAAAAATAATTAGTGCTATTAGTTCATTTTTAGTTCTCTTATGGGAGAAATTAAAAACCATTTTGCTATCGCTGGCTTTTACTGTTTTTATTCAATGGATCATTTAGAAAAAAAAAAAAACCATCCAATAATTAATCATTATTGCAAATTCTCCACGACTTGCACCATTAATGCACTTACAAAACAATTATTGTTATTTTCTAACACGGGTACGCTGCATCAGGGGAATTATTTCTGAGATGGAAGATGAGTCCCCAACACGCTACCGGCATGTAAACCCGGAAAGATCACATGATCACGGGCCTCAAAAAGAGGACAAGCTGGGCCTAACCCGCTCGGACGACAGCTTTGCCCGGTGGTCGGCAGGAAAATACCAGCACGGCAAGTTTCCGCATGAGAAGGTTTCCCGCCCATCCAACTCCAGTCGGGACAAGGGGCCTTTCCACGGTGAGAGATCGAATTCGGGCAAGGAGGAACCTTCTAGAAGCTCCGAGGTCAGGCACAGGCACCATCATCACAGGGAGTCGAGGAGACACCACGAGAGAAAGGGTAACTGTGAGAGTGAATCAAGCCACAGTCATCACTCAGCACAGAAAGATGCCAAAAGGGGCTCGCATCATAGCCCGTCCGCTTTTCGGAGGAGGGAATACAGAGATCTGGACGTGGGTCGTGATTACTCGAGGCATGGCAGGAAGCACTCGAGGGAGGAAAGTCGTGAGGACAGGTGGCGGACGGGTAATGGCCTGTACGGGGATGAGTATCGTCACCATAAGCGAAGAGCACATTGAGACTGTGATCTGCTTATCCTTATACTAGGTATTATGTATCAACTTGTAGTTGTAGATGAAAAAATGGTTGGATTTAAAGCGTCTTTCTTATATGCTATATACTAAAATGTTGATACAATTCATTTTTAGTACATTTAGGTTGGGGGGTTCTCTAACATAGAATTTGCAGACATTTAGTATATATATGCTATATATATATATATATATAGTATATATATATATATGCACATATTTATGTGTGTGTGTGTACATATGCACATATCTTTTGGTAAATGAGACTAACATTTTTCTCTTGTTCAGCTTGAGGTTCGGATGGTAGCAAAAGTTTTTGCCAGTGGCTCTGGCAATTGAAAATGTTGTTTGGAAGTAATTGTTTCTCACACGTTCAGTATTTGCGCACGCGTCATTGTGCGGGTATGGTATATATTTCAGTTACCAAGAGTGCCATTTTACCGGTAAGGAATGTATGTCAATTACCAAGGGGTGACGTTTCGCCGAAAAAGGTATGTATTTCTTAACAACAAATGATTAGAAAATAAAAAGTAATCATTTATTATATATATTTTCTAATAACATACTATTCATCTTTTTTACATATTTTTAATTATCAATCTTATCAATTATTAATTATTTTTTTTATATTAAATCAGTTTTAATCGTTGCACTTTTATCTCATATTTATCTTACTTTTTATTTTTTCCCAAAAAAAACAACTTTATGTAATTTTTCATTCCACCTTTACTGACAGAGATAAATTTTTTGAAAAAGAAAATCTTAGACTCAATCGCTCTAGAAATCAGGTTGTCAATTTTTTTTGTTGAAAAAAATGGAGGCATTACCATAAATTCTATGTTGGGCTCTACAGTCGGTAGGTAGGAATATAAGAGGCCATTTTGTGCAGGTGTGTGCGTATCGTGTTCGGACGTGTATCCCGTGCACGATCATGCACACGAGTCATTAATTGATCGAGGATTTTCCCTGGAAACTTTTATCTTGCTAGATAAGAAGAAATGGATCGAGGATTTTTTTTAATTCTTGAATTCAGAATGAAATATCTGTGGAGATTGTAAATGAATATAAGATAAATATTTAATAACCGAGTTGATATTATATAAAAATAGTTAATATTAATTGGTAGTTATAAGTATGTGAGTAGACGGATAATAATTTTTGTTGGTAAATGTATATTAATAATTATTTTTTATTTTTAAATTGTATTGATGAGATTGAGAGAAAACTAAATAGATTGAATATTAATTAGTTTGTGGAAACGTTTTTTTACTTATTCATAATCTCAAAAAAGTTGTATCCAATTGCAGCAGCAGAATTATGACTTATTTTCATTTCTTTCAGCATGGGTCATGGTTAGTCATTTTGGACACTCAGATCAGAAAAGGTATGCCTTTGGAAGTGGTGAGCAAGCATGCATCAAATGTTTCCTGATTTCGTTGTTTCATTAGTATCTTGAAAATAAAATAATAATAATAATAATAATAATAATAATAATAATAGTAAATAGTAAATACTATATATTACATCAGCCCCTAAGATTTATTGTATATATTTATAATAATATAAAATGTTTCATTAAACGAAAAACCAACTATTTTCTTAACTTTTTACTACTGAATCAATTGTTACTTGTTTAATTACATTTCCCTATTATTGTTATTATTATTATTATTATTAGATTTTTTTTTTTTTTTTTTTTTTTTTTT